CCATCATCACAGTGGAGGAAACTTTAATTTCTCAGTGTCTGTTATGGGGATACAGAACATTGATATTTAAAACTACGGTGAGGACCTAGAAGTTTGGAGGTCAGCATTCTCCATGTAGTTAATGTAATGTTCTTCTGTCTTGACTTGGAATTTTATTGATACTTTTTTAAAGGTAGTCCTTGCAGTAATAAAGAATTCCTGTTGTTGCATAAATTTCTAAAAGAGCTGCTTCTCTGAATAGTTGTGGTTTTTTTTAAATGAGATATAATGCCAGTTCTGAAGTGTTACAAGCATCCTTACAGATAGCTGCCCATTGCTGGTAGTCCCTCATATGATGTTAATCTTAAACCTGAGTTGGAATGCCTCTTTAGAATAATTAAGTATATTTTAAAAAATCCAATCAAATGGTAGGTGCAGTTTGGCATTCTGTATATTATCAGCCTAAAACCAGTGCTTTTGCTGAGTCTGTCTAGTATGAAAGTAAAAACTGTCTTTTATATAAATTTGCTGAACCATGCATCCATTGTGTCATATTTTTAACACAGATTATTGGAAGTAAAAATTACCAGTGGTAGCATTTCCCTTCTGTAGGAAATATCCTGGGCTCAGCTATAACAGTTATTTTTCTTCTTCTTAGTAGTTGGTGCAGTGCTGGTTTTGAATTTAATGTGAGAAGCTGATGACACGATGTTTAATTGTTGCTCAGTGGCGCTTACCCTTATCAAGGACTTTTCAGTCTCATTCTCTGCCAGTGAGGAGGGGCACAAGAAGCCAGGAGGAAGCAGAGACAGGACACCTGAACCAAACTAGCCAAAGGAGTATTCCATGTCACAGCACGTCATGCCTGGTATATAAACTGGGGGGAGTTGCCTGTAAGGTCCAGACCGTTGTTTGGGTTGGACTGGATATTGGTCAGCAGGTGGTGGGCAGTTGTGTTGGGCATCACTGCTGCTTACTGGGGGTGTTTTTTTCCCTTCTCTTTTTACTTTGACATTCTCTCCCCTTGTTATTTTACTTATTAGTGGTAGTAGTAGCAGTTTTATATTATACTTCAGTTATTGGATTGTTCTGATCTCAGCCCATGGGGTTTACATTCTTTTGATTCTCCTCCCCATCCTGCCTGGAGGGGGTGAGGGGAAAAGGAGGGGAGTGGGCAAGTGGCTGCATGGTTCTGAGGTACCAGCTGAGCTTAAACCACAACAGGAAAAAGTAATGAGTGAAGTAAGCTTACCTACTAAAGGAAAATTGACTCCAGTATGTAAATTTTTTATTTTTCTTTTTAGCTGAGTAACTGAGGGGTTTTGCATCATTGTATATTGTGAAAAAAAATGAAAGTTTGACCAATGACATTTTATTATATTGTTTCCTGTGACACTGGGGTATTATTTAAATTCTGCAATTCTGTTTAGGGTTTGACTCATTATTTGTGCAGAAAAGTGAATTCAAGCACTGAACTGTATTGCTGTATGGAAAGCAAAAAGCAATTTTCACCTTCCAGCTAGAGAAGGAAAGATAAGTAGCTTTTTATTTTTTAACCTTCAAAAAGGACTTGCTGGATGAAGATTTCTTTAGAAGAAAACAAGTCTTTATGCTTTGTTCTTGAATAACTTTATTTTAATTAGAATTATTGTAGAATGTTTTTTTTTTGAGGTGGTAGTTGAGAATGGAAGGCAAAAATCACAGAAACAGAGAACCTATATTGCGTAGAAGGTGTTCTGTGACTGTATAAAGCAAGTATAACAGTTTTATGATACGTTGAGTAGGGTGATAATCATAGAATCATAGAATAGTTAGGGTTGGAAAGGACCTTAAGATCATCAAGTTCCAACCCCCCTGCCATGGGCAGGGACACCTCGCTCTAAACCACATTACCCAAGGCCTCGTCCAGCCTGGCCTTGAACACTGCCAGGGATGGAGCATTCACAACCTCCCTGGACAACCTATTCCAGTGCCTCACCACCCTAACAGGAAAGAATTTCCTCCTTATATCCAATCTAAACTTCCCCTGTTTAAGTTTTAACCCATTACCCCTTCTCCTATCACTACAGTCCCTAATGAAGAGTCCATCCCCAGCATCCCTATAGGCCCCCTTCAGATACTGGAAGGCTGCTAGGAGGTCTCCACGCAGCCTTCTCTTCTGCAGGCTAAACAGCCCCAACTTTCTCAGCCGATCTTCATATGGGAGGTGCTCCAGTCCCCTGATCATTCTCATGGCCCTCCTCTGGACTTGTTCCAACAGATCCATGTCCTTTTTATGTTGAGGAAACCAGAACTGCACACAATACTCCCAAGTGAGGTCTTATGAGAGCAGAATAAAGGGGCAGGATCACCTCCTTTGACCTGCTGGTCATACTCCTTTTGATGCAGTCCAGGATACGGTTGGCTTTCTGGGCTGCAAGCACACACTGAAGCCGGCTCATGTTCATTTTCTCATCGACCAACACCCCCAAGTACTTCTCTGCAGGGCTGCTCTGAATCTCTTCTTTGCCCAACCTGTAGCTGTGCTTGGGATTGCTCCAACCCAGGTGTATGACCTTGCACTTGGCATGGTTAAGCTTCATGAGGTTGGCATCAGCCCACCTCACAAGCAAGTCAAGGTCCCTCTGGATGGCATTCCTTCCCTCCAGTGTATCAACCGAACCACACAGCTTGGTGTCATCGGCAAACTTGCTGAGGGCGCACTCAATCGCACTGTCCATGTCAGCGACAAAGATGTTAAATAAGACCGGTCCCAACACCGATCCCTGAGGGACACCACTCGTTACTGATCTCCAGCTGGACATTGAGCCATTGACCACAACTCTTTGTGTGTGACCATCCAGCCAGTTCTTTATCCACTGAGTGGTCCATTTATCAAATTGATGTCTCTCCAATTTAGAGACAAGAATGTCGTGTGGGACAGTGTCAACCGCTTTACACAAATCCAGGTAGATGACATCAACTGCTTTACCACTGTCCATCAGTTCTGTAGCCCCATCATAGAAGGCCACCAAATTGGTCAGTCTTTTGAGTATGCTAATTGCACAGAAAATAGAGTGTGTTAATTTTCCCCGTTTAAACAGGCAGCTTCACAGTTAGGAAACTGACTAGAATAGATAATCACAGCATCAGAAAGTAAGGACAATTTAAATGTGGAATGTTTTTGTTATTCCACTCTTGGTTGCCATGTTGGATTATATCAGTGCACTGTAACATGTTATCCTGTATCCTCAAAGGATTTTAAATCTGTGAACTACATGGGATTTTTTTAAATTCTTAATTGCTCATTTCACTTATATTGCTTTACGGCTGAACTGTTAAATTAACCTTTAGAATTCATACCCAAAGAAGTACACCAATACATCTCTGGATTACAGTAGTAAATATTTGCAGTTTTGTCAGCCACTGGCTAGACTCTATTCATGTCTGCTAATCCTAGCATAGAACATCAGAGCAGGTGCTCTATGACACTTGACCTTGTGCCTTTGATGTAAGCATGCTAAATAGCGACACTTAGTAACTCCTGGGTGCAACAGATGAGAATTTAACATTATTGAGTCTGTGTAAAAATCTTGTGAAGAAGAGTAATGGTTTTATAGAAATATTAGAGGTTTTTCTATCTGTAGGAATAGTAGTTTTATTTTTCTTGGTAAGCCTTCACTTGATGTCTTCTTTCAACACTTCAGTTACTCAAATTGTTGGTGAATTTAAACTTTTACGTGATAGTAAAACTTAAGAATATATTTGCTGGGAGTGGTGGAGTATTTCTTTTGAAGGTATAGGTAGTGCACATACAAGCATGTATTTTCATTGAGTCTAACCTGTCTTTGTGGTTGGGAAATCTGTTCACAAAATTTGCTTATAAGAGTTGTCTTCTTTTGACTGCCTTCCTGTAGTTTTTATTCAAGGCAAATCTCTCAGCTGTAGTAGGCTGCCAGTATTCTCCTTCAAAGCTGTCTGGCAACTGTTTATGTGTCTGTATCTTTATAAAACGCATGATGGAGATTTTATTGAATTTGTTTTGGCACTATCATACCTTTATTCAGTTCCCAAATATGTTAATTCTGGTTTACTATCATTATCACTAACTGCCTTATAGAGTTACAGCTAAGGGAAGTTGGGGGGGGAGTGGGGAGTTACTTGTTTATGGTTTTAATTTTTGAGCATTGAAAAGGTGCCTGGCACAGCCAAAACAGACTTGACATGGGTAATTTTATTTATTTCCAGTTAAACATTTCATAACTGTTTCAGGTACTGAGAAACAAAAAAGAGAAATAGTTTTAAACTATGGGAAAACAACTTCCCTCCACCTCTCTCAGGCTCAGCTTGACTCTAGGCACTTCTCCTTCCTTCTTCCTCATCTTCACTTCCAGTGATACTGTTGCAGGTTACACTGTGTCTCTTGGGGTAGCAAAGTGGTGCAGGAGGTTGGGGTTAGCATGTACTTGCTCCTTACTCTTTTCCCCCCACCTGCACCTTTCTTTGAGATGTCCCCTTCTCCAGTGTGGGTTCCTCCATTACCTCAGTCCTTTTGTTAAGGGCACATTTCAGATTCTTACGGTACTTTGACTATTGCTGTGGGGCTGTATCCTTGGAGTACATATCTTGCATATTTTGTTAAAGTGAAAGGTAAGTCATTTATGCTTTAATTTACTTTTAGAACTTGCAGGACTCATTGCTTCTTCAGGAGACCAGGATCATACAGGATTGTATATATGCTTCCTATTTTATAGAGGAAGAAATTGAAACCTGAAAAAATTGTATGCCTGTTGCAGACAGAAGGAAAAGTTTTGTGTGTTCCTGGCTCACAGACCTGTGCTTAATCACCTATTTCATTTTCAATTGTCTGGGCTAATTGTTGGCAAGATGGACCACACTTCAGTTGTTATGCTATTGTGACTAAAATAACTTTGGAAGTCATAGCAGAAGAAAATGGCCATATGGCTGCTTATCCCATGTTTAATATCTGTGTGTTAATAACTCCATAATGCATATAATTTATTCACTTTTATCTTTTACAGATTTCTGCTCAGTTATAACACTTGTGGACCCATCAAATGCAAAGTTAACATGCTCTCTTTTCAACGGAAATCTGGATTCCCTACCAAAAGTCTACAGAGTTGGAGATATTGTCCGATTTCATAGAATAAAGGTATGTACTAGGATGTGGGGGGGTTTGTGTGCTTGTTTTGTTGCAGTGAGAGGATTTTTATTGCAGTGAGAGGATTATAAAAATAATTCTTTATGTACTGAAATTAGCACATGGAGACATTAAATGAAGCAGATGATTGATTAAACAGCCTATCTTAACAGCTTATCTTAAACAGATATGCTTTTGAGAATGTTAGTTTACAATGTCTACTTGCTGCTTTGGTGTTTTCCTACCTTACCTTATTTACCTGTATCAAAGGCCATGAAGGAAACAGTGTTTATAGCTTTAGTCCTGCTTCTGCTGGATGTTGCTCTTAAGCCTGCTGCAACTGTATAGGGAAGAGGGACAATGCTACACAGACTGAACGGAAGTCTTACAATGCTTGACTGTACTTAAAGAGGTGCAGAATAGTACCAAAGACATAATTTTACGTGTTACATAAAAAGGACATGGAGTTGTTGGAACAAGTCCAGAGGAGGGCCATGAGGATGATCAGGGGACTGGAAGCACCTCCCGTATGAAGATAGGCTGAGAAAGTTGGGGCTGTTTAGCCTGCAGAAGAGAAGGCTGCGTGGAGACCTCCTAGCAGCCTTCCAGTATCTGAAGGGGGCCTATAGGGATGCTGGGGATGGACTCTTCATTAGGGACTGTAGTGATAGGAGAAGGGGTAATGGGTTAAAACTTAAATAGGGGAAGTTTAGATTGGATATAAGGAGGAAATTCTTTCCTGTTAGGGTGGTGGGGCTCTGGAATGGGTTGCCCAGGGAGGCTGTGAATGCTCCATCCCTGGCAGTGTTCAAGACCAGGTTGGACAAGGCCTTGGGTAATATGGTTTAGTGTGAGGTGTACCTGCCGATGGCAGGGGGGGTGGAACTTGATCTTATGGTCCTTTCCAACCCTAACTATTCTATGATTCTATGAATTTGCAAGATAACTATATACAATTATATATTTTATTTTTGCTTAAAATAATTATAGCAGAAATAAGCAAATGTCCTGAAAGAAGCCAGATGGGAAAAAACAAATTGCATATTTAAATACTGTTGAGAGATCAAGGAAATTGAGGATTGTACAAAAGGATGATGAAAGCAGTAAAGATCAGTAGTGCTAAGCATGTACACTTTGATATGCCGTAGCAGGAGAACAAAGAAGAAAACCCCATGACAATAAATGTAAGAAGTGCTAAAATTTAGCCAGTTATTGAGATTTGTACCACTGAGATTGTTAAAAAAGTGCTTGTTAAGAATCAGAAACAGTATTCAGTTATTTGTGCATATTACAAATACTTACAATGGAGAGAGAAATTAACTGACCTGGTTTGGGTTAGTGTAAAGGCTCTTTCAGGTCATCTTTATGTATAGAGTAGAATTAAACTAGATTTAGATTTTGAAGCTTGTGTTGCTAATCAGTAGCTGAGATGTGCGGTTAGTCTTGGGAGTTTCATTGATTTGACTTCAGGTGAGAGTCTTATGGTAAATTTTAAATTATCTCTTTATCCAGGAGGGTGTTACACAGATATTGTTTCTGAAATTCAGTAGAGATAGAAACGTGTTTATTGCTTCTTAAATAAAAAACCAAAGTTTATATGTGTGCGAATGGAGAAAGTAAAAAGGAGCCAGATTAAAAGAATTGAAACATTGTATGTCTATGGTAGGTTAACACTTTTTTGGTTTTTGTTGGGTTTTTTGAGGTGGAAAGAACAGGTTAAGGAAACAAAGATCACTTATAGAAGTTATGTGTGCACCCTCTTATGCAAACATAGTAGTGTCTCAACTCCACTCTTTTAATATAAACTTATTATGGAAACTTATGGACATAGCACATGTAAGGAACTTCACCGTTCTGATTTGGCATTACATTTTTGAGGACATTATTCTAAAATTCCTGTCAGTTGGTACTTCTTCATTCTCCAAGATGATATTTCATTATTTAAAGATGGGTTTGTCAATTTCCTCCCACATATGCTTTTTTCATCACACCTGAGCTTTTTAAGTGGTTTCCAGCCCTAACTGACCTCCACCTACCCACAATCTGTATCTCCTCAGATGTGTAAACTGACAGCTTGTTTAATTATTTTCTAAGTTAGAATGATCTGAAGTCACTAAGTTGTCTTTTTCTGGATGAGAATGTCTTCATTCACTCCAGGCTAAAAAACAGCTACTTTGGGAATTTTCATATCTGATCTGAGCAGGTAAAAGTCTGACATAGAAGCTTGGTGCCAACTGTTGGGAGTGAACTGGAAGTGAGTGACCTCTTTCTCTTGCACCAGCATATCATTTGTGACTGCTGTGCCATACAGTTTCATTTTAAAAGAAAAAAAAAAAAAGAGAAAAAAAAAAAGAAAAAATAAAGTCTAATTAGAGTTTTAATTACACTGTCTGCAGTTCCTTCTTAACTGTCTTCTTTTGTCTTCAGGCCTTATCACCTTCTCATAACTTGCTGAATGGGCAGCAACTGAGGGTTTTAGAGGCTACAGCCTTCCAGAGCTGTTCTTACCAGTGAAGACAGAAATACATAGTCCTTACAGCATGAATTCACATATCTCTGTTCCAGATATGCTTTTGAGAATCTTCCAAGAAGTTGACGTAGTTAGCAAACACATTTTAAAAATGACTGCTCTCAGCTACACTCTCAGCTCTTAATGAGTATCTTCTCTTCCTAGTAACACAGGTGTTGGCAAGGTGCGATGGTTCAGGGCTAATACGAACTTAATGGAGAGGATTCTGTTGGGATCACTCTGGTAGAGAAAAATTTTATTTGCTCAGTGTTTGTTGCAGAGAATTTAAAGTGTCTTTGTAATAGAACTGAAAGATTGCCCAGTTTTAACTAAATCCCAGTTAATATTCCTTGAAGTACATTATTATGACTTTTTATGATAATTTCTTCTGAATTACAGTACTTAGTGATTTGCAATACTGTATTTGGGCCTTCAGCCTCAGTCTGTCATCTCTGCAGAGATGACAGTGGGGGGGATCTCCCTAACCAACAGTGTAAAAGCTGAACTTTTGTCTAGCCCCCTCTATCTTCATGGCAAAGAAGGAGTTAATTGCAAGTGGAGTTTTCTTGGAACATTTTTTCTTCTATAGTTAACTCTGGGTGCTCTTAATATCTTAGACTCAATGCCTAATGTTTAAGCTACTAAAGAGAGGGATGAGGCAACCTGCTGGTGCTGACTAAACCTGCAGTACTTTATCCTCACTTGACTTGGGAGTCTTGACGTATATTCTGCCTTTCTTGTATTGCTCGAACCCTGGCATGATGATAGAATTATTAATTTCCTCATTGGCTTTTCTCTAATATTCCTTATTGCCTCTGAGTGATTCACAAACAAAAATTTATTTCCTCACTCTCAGTGAAGTGAATTGGTATTTGATTTCCATTTTAATGTTTGAGAATCAGAGAAAAGTGAAGCACATTCTTGTTTAGGTGTTCATCTTGTTGAGCATACACTAGTTGTCTGATACAATCACTGTCTAGAATGTGTTTTGATGGGTCTTTTTCCCAAATATACAGCGTTATGGAGATGTATGACTCGTCAGCGTTATAGAAGTGTGTGACGTCTGGAACACTTTGAGAATGAAGACCAAAGCAGTGACCTCTTACTATAAACTATTGTAGGACATCCTCAGTATCATACAGTCTCTGCAGCAATTTCAAGTCTTAATTCTCTAGGTTTTGTTATGTCTTAAATATGTAGGAAATATTCCAAATCATTCATTTTTTACTTTACTAGAATTTTGTCAGATAGGCTCTTCTGCTTTCTCTGAGGAATGTTTCTAAAGCAGTATCACAATATGTACTGTTTTTTTTAAATGATTATCAGAACAGAAATTGTTTCAGCTGGTTAAGTATATATTTTGACTTCTTAGGTAAAAGATACCTTACAATGAGGTCTTCAGCTGAATGTATGCTCACATGGGAATAGAAGTTTGGACAGTGAGTTTCAGATGATAAAATAATTCAAAAAACAGATGAACAAAAATAAAACCCAAAAGCAGGCCACAACACAACTAGATGTCTTGAAATAATTTTATATGTATAAATAATAGTCAAGTTTAAATTTAGTATATTCATAATTCAAAATATTGTCTTGAATTCTTGATCCGCAAATCAATAGTAAAATTTATTTTAGGTAATCTTAATATAAGAATGTGTACATTAGCTCAGTATATGTTGTTTTACAAGGCATTTGTTTGATATTAAGAGATGATCAGTGACTGCAGTGGTTTCATAATAGTCCTTTGCTTCTGCAATTTAACGATCAGTTTTGATGGAAAACTACCTTGGAGATGCTATTATTCCAGCTTTATACATTACTTAGTATTGCACTTTTCTCTTTCATTGACTGAGGTGACTAACACCAGCTGCAGTAAGAAAAATATAATTCAAGTGGTTTAGGCTGCTGTAAACCTATTTATAAGTGTTTCAAGATTAGCTTCTTTTCAATGAGCATATTCAGGATAGAGTTGTACCCCATAGAAATCACTAGAGTTTAATGGCCACACAGTTTATTGGGGTGACATTTCACCTTTTGTTCTTTAGTTCATAAAAACTAAGCCAAACACTCCTGCAATATGTATTTGAATTTACTTGCTTGCCTAGAGAAAGCCAAATACATTGTATCTGCTCTGGTTTTGTGCCAGAAGATACTCTTGTTTGGAACCATTATTTATTGAATTTATTTAAAATTACCAGGGAATTTTTAAAGCAATCGCCTGCTGCCCCCTCCCCTGCTTTTCCCCACAGTCTACCTATTTTGAAAGAATCCCCAAGCCCTCTAGAAATGACACAAAATCTGCTGAGAGGGAGTTGTCATTATGTAGCCAAGTCTTAGATTAGCTCTTTTCCCTTAGCTTAATAAAATTTCAGAATCATTTTTCATGATCTTTAAAGCCCCTTCCAACTCAAACTATTCTGTAATTCTATGGTTCCGTGAATTAAAGTGCTTCATTGTTCATGTCTTAATAATTAAGTAAATGAAAGTTTGTCCTAGGGATGGTCTTTAATGCATTTATGCATTATGTTAAAGTAGCAGGGACTAAAGGAATTCCTGTCACCAGGGCTCAACTTTGTTTATGATTTTCCAAGGAATACTTGATTTGGGTGCTTTTTAAATTTAAGTGTGCTTATAAAATGTAGGCCTAAATAACTGGCAATGTTTTGGTAAAAAAATATTGCTGTTTAGAACTTCTGTCACATATTTCAGATTCTGCTTTTTTAAATCAGTAGATTTTCAAGCACTTGAAAATTGAGCACTAGGAATCCTAATCTGTATTGTCTCACAAGTGCTATATGGAGAAGTCTTGTTGGTTTTTTGGTAAGTAAATTTTAATTAAAAAGAGATGGATCAAAACAGTCAGTTTGAGATTTCTGACAATTGCTTTCTGCAGTGCTTTTATATAAGTACAGGGAACAGGAAGATTAAGCTAGATCCTTGAAGGAACTCTTCAGGTTTTAAACACCATGTTTTATATGGTAGCAGATACACAACTAAATCAGGATAGAGGGTATCTGCCATGTGCAGAGTAGTAGACGTAAGAGTGAGAGCTATATTCATAATTCAGTGTGTGAAAGCTGGTCACTGCTTACTTTATAGGGGAAAAAAGAAAAAAAGCCCTTCTAGAGTTGGTATTTTCTTTTTCAGTTCCATAATATCAGGAAATGGGGCTATTTTGAAAGGCAGGAAAGAGGAATCTGTAATAACTTTGCTCTGCCATCGCTCTGCTGTATGACCCCTAAAAATTATGCTTCAGTTTTCCCATCTGTAAACACAGTCCTGATGTGCTCCCCACACAAGCATTGTGAGATATGTGAATGCTCTCTACCAATGCTGTGTATTTACAGGTAGTTTGCCTCTTTAAAAAAATAAATAAATCTTTCATGTTAGACTATATTTTCTGCTTATTCACTTTGTTATCTTGTTACTGCTCCTTTTTTTTTTTTATTTCATTTTTATTTTTACTTCATTCTCCTAATACCACTGGGAACAAAAGTGATCAGTGGTCTGTTCTTCATGCATGTGATAAAACAAATGTATGTATATTTCAATGCAATGTAACCATTTTCTTTTTTTCTTCATACCTTGTTACAGATCAGGGAATACAATGGACGGATGCAGGGAATTACCAGTGGAGGATTTGCATCCTTGACATTTGATGGAACTGTAGGAGCACCAATAGTTCCTCGAACCTCTAGCAAAGGGTACAGTTTCGTGGATGAAGAACACAAAACAATAGAAGATTTACGTGTTTGGGCAGCCAGTAATCTTTCTGTCTCTGAACCTGCACTAAAATTGTCTGGTGTTCAGCCAATGCTGTTCTTTGATCTCACTTGCCAGCTGGTAGGAAAAGCAAAAGTGGATGGATCTTCTTTTCTTCTAAAGGTAGATTATTTTTTTAACAATATTTTTTTATATTTATTAAGGCATTGTGATTCAATTTTTTATAAACCAGACATATTCATTGCTTTAATGTTATGTAGATAAGTATTTTGAGGTTAAGTAAACTGATGATCCTTGACCATTTTATTTCCATGTAAACAAAATAGAAATCCCATTTCGCTTTAAAACTCTTCATCTGATACATTTCTTTATGGAGGTTTTGTAAGATGGCATTGTTATGAATCAGCATTTCACAAACATTTGTAGATAAATATAATAAGATTTCTTAAAGTTGAAAAATATTGTTAATTTTAAATTTCAACCTTGATTTTTAGTTAGCAGCAATTGTTGCTTCTTTTCTAGATCTGCTGGATATAGTTAATGCAGTAAGTAGCACTATCTAAGGAATGGATTATATTACCTATTTTGATGGATTTATTTTAGGTAGCTGCTTTTACTTGTACAAAAATGCTTTGGGGATTACCACTCACTGAAAATGTAAAATGCAAAGTGCCACGCACCTTTCCCAGGGTGATCCTTAATATCAGTTAAGTAAAAAAGAGGTCTGCATAATTTTCCTGGGTTTAGCTCCAGGTATAAGAGTCTGGTGTTAATTCTGAAATTCCTTTATAAATTCTTTCTCTTTTAGAAGTTGCTTGTTAAAATATCAGTGAAGAATAGGCTGTTATTTTCATTTTATGACTTTGTAAAATTATTTATTGGTTCTACTGTATTAAGCTGTACTGCTGCAACATTTTTAGAAGCAGCACAATTCATTATTCCTTCATTAAAGCAGCAGAGATTTTTCTCGTGCAGAGCAAAACGCTTGCACTACGTAGAAACAAGTCTTAAGTGTCATCCTATAATATGCTTTGCTGCTGTTACAAACATTTCCATTTAGTTATCCCTTATGAAATAGATGTTTAATGAGACCCCGTAAAATTTCAGAACTTTGGACTGTAATGAAGTTGTTCGTTAATAAGTATATGTTCAGCATTGAAGGACTCTTTACAAGGACAGAGAGAGACAAGTGCTTTTGTAAATTATTAATATTTCTTTACGCTCTGTTGTAAGATCTGAAATCAATTTTGTTAGGTTTGTATAGTAAAGATAATGACTTGGGGAGAAAACTTAGGATAGGCTGAGGAAGGTAAAAGCTTGACTATCAAACAACAGCAGGTCAATTTCTCTGATACATAATTCCTTTGACTGTATATTTTTTAGTGGTGTAAGATATTTAATACTTAAATCCATATTAAAATCGATCAGACAAGCTGAAAAATTGTATATTAACATTGGTAGGCTGTTGGTAATTTCCTCGCTTCTCAAGCATCCCTTTCTCATGTCAAAAGTTGGTCATAATAGAAGAAGCCTTTTTAAAAATTGTAGACAGATCTCTATTTTTTTCATTTGATAAAGAAAAAAAAACACCCAACAAACAAACAAGCAAAAAAACCACTGAAACAGAAAAACAACAAATGTAATATCAAGTGAAATGGAGTGGTCATTAAATATTGTATTATTTTGGTTATATGTTTTGTAATAATGATTTAGATTTATTATGTCATTCCAAGTATATCAGTTATATTAATGGTTGATTATACTATAAAACATAATGATTATTTTAAGTGTTGAGCTTATGTAACTAATGGGGATTGCTCCAAAGAACTTAGGTGAATTTCAGTAATTTTGTGCATCACTCATAGCATAACTTTTATGATTGAACTTGATAAATAAATCGGGATATGCACAGCTTGGGGATGACATGGCATAAAGAGCATTAGAACTTATCTTTTTCTGAGTATTTTGTTATTGAAAGTGATGGACACTAAAAAACTCATGCTAGAAATACTTCTGTCATTTATGTCTTTCATAAGAGTGTTACTACTAGTCTTTCCTTCTGTCTGTCAGTTAAATTGCTGACATTAAGCTATGTCACACAGCATGCTCTGCTGAAGAGAGCAACAGGTTTCATTGCCTCTTCCATTTCAGTGTTTGGACAAAGGTTGCCACTAACTATTCCTTAGCTCCAGTCTTGTGTTCATGACTAGTAATAGTAACGTGAATAGTAATCTGCTGTTTCCTACCCTGAATGAACTTAATCAGTGTTGGTTTTTAGACCACTTTTGGTTTTGGAAACCAGGGCTCTGTTTTCATCCATAATTTGAGTACAGTGAAGCTGGCAAGTTCCTGAGGTAAAGAGCTAATAGTTGTGCAAATAAAAAACAAAACCAACTACTTTCCTAAGGATTTTCTTTTTCTGGTAAAGAAAGTTTTCTGGCTTATAAATTCCTCCTAAAGGTGCCCCAACACTAGCCTTGTTAGTTCCTCTGTCAAAGGACATTTTAGGTAAGTAGTCATCCTTGAATTTGACAGGAAACATTCAGCAATCCATTTGTCAGATCGATCTCCTAAATGTGAAACTACCAAAGTGTCCCAGGTAAAGCCTGTTGAAAAATAATGGGAAACTTTAACAAACTTAAGCTTCTTTATTTTGTCCAAGTGACTAAATTCAGAATGCATATGCACTAAGTCTGTGTTTCTCAAGCCCAGTTCTGGAGAAGGTTTGATAGTTCGAGCAGTGGACAACCTCTCTTTCAGAGGTGGTTTTAAGCATTTCATGGTACAGGATCAGAATATAATAGAATTTTATTTTTTTTTTAATCTGTGGCAGCACCTTGGCCTGGCCATCTGAGTCCTTCAGAATACACTCTTATTTGGGAGCATTAATTTAATGTTATGGGACATTTTCACTGAACAGTTTCCCCTTTTATCTCTTGATTTGGATGAGTATTTCAACCATGAGTTATTCTCAGTATATTTGATGTGTATATGATTCTGCTGATTCTTAGATCTTTTCATGAGGATCCTTGATCCACAGCAGTTAAGCGTAAGGGGTAGAAACCCTTTAAAAATTAAGTTTTGTCTTCTCCCCCTCTGCAGCACCTAACTCATGGGACAGAATGCCTTGGTATCATAAACTGTCTGAAAATTAGCTTCTGTTGAATTTATATGCAGGAAATCCTATGAAATGCAGCATTGCAGTCTTATAGTCCAGATGCCTCTAGTTTTTTCTTGTTTATGTTGTCTCTGAGAAGAGACTGTCATCAAGAACTCGGGAAACCACAGTTTACAGAACCATAAGCAGTTACCACTGAAATTTTAATGTCTGGTTTAAGCATTAAGATTTGGGTTCCAGTCTGTTGGTAATCTTACTTTTTTCACGGTAACTTTGATAGGTCAAAAATAACTCTTATTGATATTTCACTACTTAAGTGTATCAAGAACTTGGCTTTAGGCAAACAATTTTTATAATCCTTGTAATTAAATATATGTTAAATACCAGTTTTTTTTCTAACACAATCTGGATAACTGGCGGTGTATAGTGATGCAGGAGATTCAGTAACTAAGGGAGTCTATGCTGTGTACTCAGTCTTCATATACTGTAGCTAAGTGGTTAAAAAACACCCTATATCAGGATTAAAATATTAAATATAAACAGTTCTGCCTATGGAGAATTCTAATAGTTGTAACTGCTGGATAAACAGTTGAGGTGTTGCTAGCACAGATTTTATTATTGTTACTATTTATTATTATTATTATTATTATTAATAATAGTATTAACAAATCCCAGGTCTTAAAACTTGGTCAGATTCTATGTAAAGGATATTTTATACTCTGTAAGGAATGATAATTAAAAATAATACAATCAAATTTAAGGACTTTAAGACTCCAGTTAAGATTTTTTTATTGTTATCAACTACTAATCAAACAACAAATTTGTTAAAGTTATTTACAATCTCAATCTGCAGTATTCTGGGAATATTGAAATAGTTCTTCTGCATTGTAGGTATGGGATGGCACAAAATGTCCCTACCCAACGTGGAAGGTTCCTGTGGAAGCAAGGAACCTGGAAGGAGAAAAAGTTCTTCTTCGTCGGCTGCAAAATCTAACAGTAGACATTCTAGTTTATGACAACCATGTACATCTGGCAAGATCCCTTAAGGTAATGCACTGTCTGATTTTTCTAACTCTCATTTTGTGGCCTGTTTTCTGCTTAGAACGCACTTCAGAGAATGTATCAATTCAGTTACACTGTTAATTCATTTCAGATGTTGGTCTTTATACCTCATTGTATTTCCCATACCTTTTGTTTGAATGCAAAACCCCTTCAACATGTGTGAAACAGCCTCATTATCCTAAAACTGCCATGAAAAAATCTTCCAATTAAGCAGTTCTTTTCAGAAACTGCAATACCATATAGAATTCTGGGAAAATAATGCACTCAGAAAATGTGTTCTAGGCTTTAAAATTATTTTTTAAATTATATAAAGTGGGGTTAAACCTGTAGTCCCCAAAAAGGCCAGTAATTCTAAAGTCAATAAAAGATTTTCTGTTCTATAAACTTCTGCAATTTGCAGTGCAATCTTCATTTAGTGTTTCAGTAATGCTGATTATGCTTAGATAGAGAAAACAACAACATAATTAAACATTTGATCTTCAACAATACTGCCATCTTGCTTCTGAATACAGTAAATTAGCAAAGAATACATCTTTCATTTTATGCTTTCCCCAATGTACCCAAGCATCATTTTTAAGGAGTTTACCAGAAAATAAAGGTAAGTGATAACAGCAGATATTAAATGAATTTGGTATATTAATGCCTGTTCATAAGTAAATGATAGACAGCAAAATAAGTTGCCCTTGTGTAAGAATCCATAACAAAACTCAATCACAGAAGTATTTCATTACTCGCATATTCTTTTCCAGAATTTTTCTCTTGCTATCTGATGTAATCTGTTGATGTAAATATCAGCTGATATTCCAGTGAAGCAGTGTCTTTTGAAAGCTAAAGGAAAAAAGCAATAAACATATTTTCTTGAGTAGCTGGTGATATTCCCTTTACTGCACTCTCCCATTTACATTCAGGAATTCCTGTTGAATATCTCACATAGGATGTCTTTCTTTTCTATGAACCTTTTCTTTCTTACCTCTAAAGCATCTGTGGCTTTGCTGTATACTGCACTGTGTAGCAGAAGCTCTAATGTGAAAGGAAACTAACAAACCTAGTTTAACCTGCTGAGCAACATGGATCGTTCTCTTGGCTATGTCCAAAGCTGCAGTAGTTTCACTCATGCAAGATGTATAAGTTAGATCATTTTTGAACACTGCTTTTCAGTGGATTGTCTTAATGAAGTCATTAAAGTATTAATCTTAACAGTTAAACTTCAGGAAGATTTCATATGTTCAGCTTGCAATATGTGCAATTAATTTTATTTCACAGAATACTCTAAAGGTAATAGAATTTGGGGTGGCTTTTCCTAAAATAGATAATTTAATGAAAGGTTTGGTTTAAAATACTGGTAGAAATAATGTTATGTCATGAGAAAGTATATTTGAAATAATCTATATTAACCTGATTAATATTTATTTCAGGGTCTTGTTATGTAAAAATTTTTTAAGAAATCGTTTATATTGGTATGTAAAGCTGGAGAGCATTTGGTGTTTGCATGTGCACCTGCCTGAACGTGAACGCAGAGAACACTGTGGACAGAAACTGTAGTAAATGCCTCACCAACTTATGGCTTCAGAAATAATAAAAGTACATTTATTTTCATCTGTTTCTTCTGCATTTGATAGTAGCTTAAAATTGCCTTTTTTAATATAAATTGTTATCGAATTGTTAGGTTACACTCTATCATATTATCATGTACCATTTGCAATGACAGTTGCAGCTCTGAAATGTTTTACGTAGGAACAATCTGTTTTACGCAGCCTTGATACTAAGAAGAGTAGACTGGAGAGGAAAAGAAAATATTCAGACAAGGAAGCTCTGAGTAAGCACTACAAGTCTAGAGATCATACGTGATGTATTATAGTGAATTTTTAGCAAATCCTGGAGCACCGTGTCAGGGATATTCGTACAAGAGTTTGTTAAAAGCTGTTTGTTTGGATTGTCTGTCCAGAGAACATTGAAGACAGGAGCGTTTCATCCCATTTTCTGAAACAGTCAAATGATATTTACAATTTTCAGTGGAGGGAATTTTAGTAATATTGAAGAAACACTACAGTTGATACCGTAAGTAGACTTTTTGTCCCCTATATTTATTTGCCTCCCTTTCCTGCTGGGCAAGATTGTGGCTTTCAACATTTGATGCCTTAACTGAACACAAACAGAATTTTCAGAAATCTCATCTCTGAAGGAAATTATTTCCTGAGGCATAAAGATGACAGCAAGACCTACAGCTAAGCAAAGACACTGATGATCAGTGCTTTTTCCTGAATTTCCCTCTTCCTCTGGCTACCGGGAATGCATGAAGCTTTCTCTTTACTGTAGGAACCCCAGCCTGCAACTAACTCTCCAGGGTACAGTTGCTCCTCATAGGCTGTAGTTCATTATTCTTAGCTTTTCTCATCCTGGTGTTTTCAGAGGCTCTCAGGATTCATTGGCATTGCAACAGGACTGTGCCATGGGTTTCTCCATCTGTGGCATTTTGCTAGATGGTAAGCATCAAGGTGAGTGAGCATCAGTGCTCACTCAGTGCACTGCAGGGATCCAGCTGTCTACAGTGGCTTAGAGATTTCCTTATGTATTGTCATTCATTGAATATGTGATCCTGTCCTCTTGTGGCTTGATACCATCAGTTTTGTGTTGCCTTGCATTTTCTGTATAGTACAGTTAAAACAACTAACCTTGAGTATGCGTACAAATCCTAGGTTATAGGTCCACAGTATTTTTTTCGTGTTATGTGTCTTCAGGTGCAGAATTAGAATATTTGCAGCTGTTCCTCTTTCTGTATACAGTGTAATATCTTTTTTGCTAGTAGTTTGGACTAAGAAGCCTTGTTTACTTTCCAAGTGTCTGAGCTACGTTTCCAGCGTGCAACTTAAATGGGTTACTGCAGTAATTTCTAGCTTCCTACTTTTCAGGCCTGGGTAGCATTCTTTGGACCTGTCCATGATGTTTTCCCCTCTTCTGTCTTTGTACTCATTAAAAGAGGAAAAAAAAACAATGAACCACAACACCATCCCACCCCCAAGTCCTCCAAACCCTTTAATAGTTTTGATATTTTTTATTGCAAAGGACCGTACACATGTGCTGTGTATATGCTTCCTGTCATGTGCAAAAAGTTGTGCACAATCTATTCAATAAAATTAGACTGTTGATATGATAAAATTATGACAAAGAAATGTCATTAAATATAATAAGCCATAAAATAGACATAAAAATTAGTACAGATTATTTTAAGTGATTCCTGTAAATAAAGACAGCCTCTTGTCATGAGTTCTTTCTGGCCAGATGTGGACATTTAACTACTGTGATAAATGACTGTTCCAGATTCATCAGTGCCTTAAAAAGTAATGCAATCCTATATTTTTTGAAATAATTAAGGGAATTTTTGAGATAAATTAGAAAGTTGTTTTATTTGACTAACTACAGGGAACTGCATATGCAACTTCTTAATTTTTCTTTTAACCTTAATATTTATTCTTAAAATTGTCATACTTGAATTAGACTGCAAATAGAGTCTTAGTCTATTTTATATTACTTAAAGAAACGTGTCCTTACTGCTTTAATTTCATTTTAAATGAACTTGCTTTAAATGAGGTAGGTAATTCATAAGCAGAACTGCTGTAGTCAAGTAAGGAGCTGGTTTTGTATTAGATTTTAGATGTGGCTCTGTAAATCATGCTGTTTACTTTAATGAAGGTTATAATTTCTTCTCAGTCAGGTAGATGAAGTGTACTCGCTCTGCAGGCATTCTGTAAACAACAGAAATACGGTAACATTTTCAGCAGTAACATTTGCTCACACAGTTAACAGTGAGCAATGCTGCCTCCCAAAGGAGCTCACGGAAACTGCAGGAAGATACTTTCATAGTCATAAATCTCGGGACAGTAAGACATGCAGTTTGTCTGGCTTCTTGCATAAATTTCAGCACACAAGTCTAGAAGGCAAACCCAGCACTTTGTATTCTTGCCTTCTGGGCTCTCTCCTCCCATGTTTAATGTTTTATGGTTTTGCATACAGTAAATAGTAAAGACTTTTCATACATGGTTTTTGATAGAAAGTTCTTCAATTATAATCAGCTTTTTCCCACTTATATAAAAATTACTCGGGGGGGGGCAATATTTTGACACAAGTAAATTGGCATAAGGTTGTTTGGTAAGTAGAACTTTGCTAAGAACTTAAAAATAAAGGCTTTCTCCAAATGCAGTTGTCATAGTCATCAGATTAGTTTTACAGTATGACTGTCCCTTGCATTTTTGGATATTCAACATAATTAAATTAAATTTTGCACCTGGGAAAGATAAAAAAAGGCTTTAGATAAGCCTCTGAACTGCTACCGAAATGCACAAGCTGTCATGTTGATACACTTTGAATGAACAAAATGAGCAGCCCCTTAATGATGCAGATCAACTAAAACCTTATAAGAGCTCCATGCTAGAAGCAAAATAGGTGCAGGTTGAAGTGTGTTTCTTATGTCCCTGGTGCCTCAGTTTGAAAGTATGCTGCTTTTTTCAGTTTGATTGTTGTTTAAAAGAGCAATTTGGTACCAGCATTATATACTCATAGCCTGTTCCTTGATTCAGAGGAGGATTCTAGAATCAATGTTGCTTAACTGCTTTTATGTGTGTGTATATATATATATACACCCATTTATATATATATATATATATATATATGCACACATGCACATTTGTAAATGTTGTACTAGGATCTGGGCAATCCAGTCTAATAGGGATACTTTTTAGGTTTCTACTGGTTAAAGCAGGAGCTGAAACAGAATTAAGATTTAACAGGATTCTGCTGTAATATTAATGTTAATTGAACTAAATTTAAATAATTCATCATTTATATAGGGCAATTTAAAGATACTTAGAGTGAACATAAATTCAGGTTATTGAATGTGTAGCTTGCCAGCTATCAGCTGGATCTCAGGTTATACTTTAGAAAAAGGGTTTGGGTGCTGGTTAATCTGATTCAAAGGCTTTTAAGACATATTGAAGGAAAATTAACTATGTAATTAAGTCTCCAGATTGTCTACCTTTAGAATCTTGGTTTGGGTTTAGGCTTTCAGGGAGGTGAGAGGGAGGCATACTGGGAGTGTTTTTTTGAAATAAAAGCAAAGTTAAAGATGTATTTGATGTTCATGCCTCCATAACTTCTTTCTTAATAGGTGCTTTTATAAGTTAGCCTAAGTCCATTTGTATAACTTCACAAAACTGTTTTAGAGAACACAAAGTAATTCTAAGCAAAACAAGAAGTATGTGCTCCATGTACCCAAGGAGAAAATCTAACAGAGTCAAGATCAGTGCCAGAATCTTTGAATTTGTAACATGTGTTGCCTTGTATCCTGGTGTAGAAAAAAAAATCTTACCTGTAATGTAAGACAAGATAAAGAAATCTGGGTAAGGAGATATGTTTGCATGTGAACATAAACAGATAATAGCCCATGCATGGTGATGGACATGAGGTCAACTGCTGAGATTGAGCATACATGGAGAAATCACAGCATGTCAGTCTCCAGAGGGCTGTGTTGTGAATATAGAAGACAAATTGTGCCCTCAGGAAAGGAATGTATCGGCTCGTTTGATCTGTCTTCTGAAGTCTACGTGAGAATCAGTAAAAAAGCTTGTGCTGGTTCTGAGTCAGCCTTTGCTGCCACTAATTCTGTCTGATAAAGCAAAACAAACAGATCACCCAGAGAGGTTTTGGGGTCTCCATCTTCAGAAACACTCAAAGCCCAGCTGGAGACAGCCTGAAGGAGCCTGCTCTAGTTGATTCTGCTCTGGGCATGGGGGTCGGACTAGGCACTCTCCAGAGGTCCCTGAAATTCTCATCTGTTACGTCATTTAGTCCGAGTAAGCAACCAATATTTTTTTATTTTTATTTTTTTTTCAGATTGGAAGTTTTCTGAGAATTTACAGTATTCGTACAAAACAAACAAGTGCTGATAGTGAAGATGCCTCACATATAGAATTTCATCTTCATGGAGGTACCGGTTATGGTCGAGGAATAGGAGTCTTACCAGAAAGTCACCCGGATGTTAAGGATCTAAAAGTGTAAGTTCTATATGTAGGGGTGGGTTTTTTTCTCTAGCTGATTCTGGAAAACTCTAAGCTAATGCAACTATAGAGATCAGAAATGTAAATATGTAAGAACCGGAAGCTCTGGAACACCGTACATCTTTAGCACTACTAATATGAATAGTATTTGGGGGGTTATGTAAATAAAGACTAATTTTTTTAATTTAAAATAGAGTAGGTATTGAGATTTCTGTTCTGTAGTGTTGTAATAATTATCACATTTATTCTCTTCTGAATATATAGAATATAAAATATTTATTTATTTATAGATTCTTAGAATCTGTGGATCTGTCCGACAGTCAGAATATGGAAAGCATGTCTTCAGTCGAAGTAGGTGACACTTTTTACAATGATACAGGTAGGAACAATTGAAAGCTGTTTCTTCTAACACATACATGGTCAAGATAAGGTCACAGTTATTGTGTCTGTAAGTGTATGTTAGTTTCAGACACAAAGCTTTAGAGGATTCTTTTGGATTATTAGACTGGAAATTGACATTACCCTAACCTGTCTTGCAGCACAAGTCTTTCATATACATGGAAAAATACTTTCATAGGAGGCAGTGAATAAATTATTAAACACAGGTGTTGTCTTATTCATACTATATTAGATTATAAAGCACTGATTAATTCCCTCTAAAGGGGGATTACTCAGAGGCAGACACCGAAAACACTACTAAACAGCTGCTTGTTTGAGGAGCCATTGTAAAGCCATTGGATGGAAAATTGTGTCAGTGGCAGAGTTGCAAGGTGCAATGCCATGGAAAAGTAGTATTTTACAGACACTTCTACAGTTCCCATATTATTCTTCCAGTGGTATTTTAAACCCAGAATGAGAAAAACTAAAAATGAATTAAACTCTAATGGTGTTTGCACATAGTTTGCATCTTTGCTTCTAGCTTTCAAAATCACATGGTACTTAGCTATTATTAACATACTCTGACACAGGTATTTCTAAAAGGGTGCAAAAGTCAAGAATAAATCCCTCATGTCTAGACCATAACACTGCAAATTTAGAAATAATTTTGCACATATTTACTGTACTGTGCATGTGTAGTAGAGTTTGCTCAGTGAAGGCCCTAGGCAGTCCACAGTGCTTTTAGAATAATGTGTTTATGCTCTTGTCCAGAGGGATTACAGGGGAATAAATACAGTTTATGTTAGCAGTATCATTCACAGTATGCATTTGAAAAGTGTTCATTTTGATGGGCATTGCTTTTTAATGTATACACTAAGTTCTCCTCAAATATATTAACTTTTCATAATTAATGTTTGCTGCTTACTTTGCATTTTCCTTTTGCAGTATTGTCTCCATACATTATTGGGATCTTCGTTTTCCTTTGTTCAGCTTTTGGTTTTATATGTGTATCTATCTGCCTGTCTGTCTGTTTTTGTGTGCCCGCGTGGTAAAGAAGGAACGAAAATAATTAGGAAATTCTTCTTTATTTTAGATTTTGAATCAGACTTGAAGAGGTATCAGCAGTTAACTGTTACAGGTAGGAAACATTTTTACCTAAACATAGATTTTACTTTCACTAAAGAACAAAAATATTTTTGAGACAACAGCTCAACAGCATTTGTTGTGATTTACCTGAAAGACTGTAGTAACATGTTATATTGATAAATTGAGGGTGTAACTGGGAAGGGAAGCTGGACAGTAAGGGAAAATGCATACTTGGAATGGCCATTTCCCATATTCCACATATTACGGTGTTTAATAGATATGCACAACTTTTTTTGTTTTGTCTTCATTATTTTACAGTATTAACGAGTCATCTGGATCTGAATAACACAGAACTGAAAACCGTTCTGAGCAGCACGGCTCCTCAGCAGTACCGCATTAGAGCAAAGCTGGGAACTTATAAACCCCAGAAGCTCTATCAGGCTGTTAAACTTCATTGTTCCAAATGCAACTCTTTGTAAGTGTTTCACACAATAAAAGCAATTATGAATTGTTCTATAGGTTTTCGGATGTCTAAATTTTCAGTGTATTTTCATCTTTTTTGTGTAACATGAGCTGAATGTAAATGTTTTTCATTTTGAGCAAAGATTTGAAACTCACTGATAGTAGGAAAATTTGAAAACATCAGATGAGTTCCTTTTTTTACAGAGTCCTTTGAGTGCTTTTGAAGAAAGAAGCTTTCTTTCTTTTCAAATTTAGCAGTGCAGTTTTTCCCATATGGAAGTTATATTGTGGATTTGAAATAGGATATGCAAAAAGGTATCATAGTCTCCAAATGAATGAGAAAAGTATCTTTCACTCAAGTGTATCTTCCAGAGAGGGCATATTTTCTAGATCCAAAAATACCACAGAAACACCATTAGCCTTGGTATTTTGTCTTTTTTTCTGACCTGGGTGAGTTCACTGACCGTTTTATCATTGCTTTTCTAAAAATGAAAGAAAGTTTGACCAATTTGGTGGCCTTCTGTGATGGGGCTACAGAACTGACGGACAGGGGTAGAGCAGTTGATATCATCTACCTGGACTTGTGAAAAGTGTTCAACACTGCCCCACACAACATCTTTGTCTCTAAATTGGAGAGACATCAATTTGATAGGTGGACCACTAGGTGGATAGAGAACTGGCTAGATGGCCGCAGGCAAAGAGTTGTGGTCAATGGCTCAGTGTCCGGCTGGAGACCAGTAACGAGTGGTGTCCCTCAGGGATCGGTGTTGGGACCGATCTTGTTCAACATCTTTGTTGCTGACATGGACAGTGGGATTGAGTGCGCCCTCAGCAAGTTTGCCGATGACACCAAGCTGTGTGGTTCGGTTGATACACTGGAGGGAAGGAATGCCATCCAGAGGGACCTCGACACACTTGTAAGGTGGGCTGATGCCAACCTTATGAAGTTTAACGATGACAAGTGCAAGATCCTACACCTGTGTCGAAGCAATCCCAGGCACAGCTACAGACTGGGCAGAGAAGAGATTCAGAGCAGCCCTGTGGAGAAATACTTGGGGGTGTTGGTCGATGAGAAAATGAACATGAGCCACCTTCAGTGTGTGCTTGGAGCCCAGAAAGCCAACTGTATCTTGGGGTGCATCAAAAGGAGCATGACCAGCAGGTCAAAGGAGGTGATCTTGCCCCTCTACTCTGCTCTCGCGAGACCTCACTTGGGAGTATTGTGTACAGTTCTGGTGTCCTCAACATAAAAAGGACATGGATCTGTTGGAACAAGGGCAGAGGAGGGCCACGAGGATGATCAGGGGACTGGAGTACCTCCCATATGAAGATAGGCTGAGAAAGTTGGGGCTGTTCAGCCTGGAGAAGAGAAGGCTGCATGGAGACCTCATAGCAGTCTTCCAGTATCTGAAGGGGGGCTATAGGGGTGCTGGGGATGGACTATTCGTTAGGAACTGTAGTGACAGGACAAGGGGTAATGGGTTAAAAGTTAAAGAGGGGAAGTTCAAATTGGATATAATGAAGAAATGATTTATTGTAAAGGTGGTGAGGCACTGGAATAGGTTGCCCAGGGAGGTTGTGAATGCTCCATCCCTGACAGTGTTCAAGGCCAGGTTGGACACAGCCTTGGGTAGTATGGTTTAGTGTGAGGTGTCCCTGCCAATGACGGGGGGGGGGTGTAACTAGATGATCTTAAGGGCCTTTCCAACTCTGACTATTCTATGATTCTGAGACTGTTTGAAATGGCCTGGTTTTGATTAAACTACTGAATGAGGTGATACAGTCCTATTTATGATCATCTGAATCCTGTGTCACTTTTTTTTTGCCTGACGTAGCCTCACCTCTGTCCCAAGCAAGCAGTTTTATTATTACTGGTGAAACTAAACTACTGCTTTCCTTAAAAGATGGCATGGTAGCATTCTCCTAACCTTTTGAAATTTTTTGTACAGTGAAAATACATTACATACAAATACTGAGACAAGAAAAGGCCCCTACTATCCTTCTCTGACAGCTTTTGAATGCTAAGTCGTATGCTTGCCCCTTTTTGGTCCTTATCAGACGTTGTTATAACATTCTCTTGGTTGCTAATGTTAGAGGAAATGCTTTGTCATTTTAGCAGCATACCTGGTCTTTATTACCAAGTATAAGAAGGAGAAAATTACTATCTATCTTGCCTACTTTTCTTAGTTTCTTGATATATTTGCCAACTCTGTAGTAAGCAGATACAATTGGTAGAATTTTTTTGTTCTGTATGAACTTTATCCTTATGCCAAGGTGAAAATTAGTGGATCTGTACTGCAGCCTGGATTTGGGTGAGTTAAGAGGCCCAGGAAGGAAACATTTAAAGACATAGTTCTCTCCTACATGTTCTGCTGTGGCACTTGTTTCCTGTTTTGGTGTATGCTTTCTTAGCATGAACTACTGACGTTCAATGCAAGTTTGATTATATAACACTTGGTGCAGTAAGATGCACGTAACACCTGGTGTATAAAATCCTTGAGAGATTTATTTTTGGTTTTTTAGACTTTGACTGGAAGTTTCTCTGTAAATAGCAAAATGTCAATATATGTGGATAATTTTATTAATGTATCCACATTACAGAAGTTTCAACCCTCATGTGTAGCTTAGTTCAAAACCAATTCATTCCATTCCTGCCTCTGCAGGAAATCTACAGGCAGGCTGTAGAGGCTGGAAGAGTTTAATGGGTATATCTAGAAAGATGGTCTGTTACGTTAGGTCTACCGCTGTTGCATTTAAAATAGTAATCCAGGAATACAAGTGGAAAGAGTTCATGTGAACAGCACTGTGTTCATGAAATGAAAGTTCAGGTTCAGGAAGACCTCTTGTGTGGCAGTTCTGTAGTCACAGCAGAATTATCACCATCTGGTTTCAGAGGCAGGAATTACCCTACTCACTGGTGGAAGCAGCTGCTCTAGGTTTGAAAGTGAAATTGTCAGAATAATCTGCAGAAGTCAACTCTGAAGCTTGGCACCTACTTTCTTTCAATGTTTTGTGAAATAGCTTTTTCATTGTCCTTTTTAATCGCGGTTCTTATTCCTGAAGCCCTGTCTTGCTTAGGAGAAAACATTCAAAGGCATTTTTGTGTGCCAACCACTGGCTTTTTGCCCGTTGGTGGCAATATTGGTAAAATTTTGAATGACCTGCATTATTTCTCTGAGTGACAGCTGGAAATGCACAAATGGTACATGCTGACAGAATGAGAAGGAAACTGGTGGTGCAGAGTTGCAGATTTTCCCTTTGCAGGGCATACATGAAGCTATTGTGTGCCTGTCCTTCTTCCCAACCCACCAGATATGCAAAATAAAATAGGCTAGAGCATAGAACTTGAAATTATATGAGCTTACACAGTCTTTCCACTCTGCTGAAATGGTGTGCAGTTGTGTGGCCCTTTTAATGTGGATTCAGGCCCAACTGAAATCATATGAAGCTTATATAATTTATTTTCTGGCATTTTTTACATACATTTGGATGAAGTCACAAGGCTGCCTCTGAGCCATAATCTTAAAATTAGATTACTTAGAAAACTTATTAACACAAAAATCCTCTTGTCATAATTTGCTATACAACCACAAATGTCTAAGCTGATATAAACCAGTTATTTTTCCTGTATATACTTTAAGTCTCATGACTATATTTTAATATTTATTCAGAGTACTGTTGTCCTTGTTGCTACATTGCCTAAGGAGAAGCTGTTAAGAGTTTACTTCCTCACTTTGGAAATTGTTCTAGGCAAGAAGTTCCACATGGAGATGAGTTGGCCTCGATTTTACAAGGCTCTGCCATTCCTGCTTCAAACCCAGAATTACACAACACATCATGGTATGATTCTGCAATGTGGACTACACAAGACCAGAAACAAAGGAACATAGCTATCCATTTTGTAAAGCATGAAGGTATTCTTCAAAATCCTGAAACTTCATTGCTTATGATAGAAGGTAAGACAAATTGCAAATATACCACTTATTACAACAGGGTGTCCACTCTGAGCATATATAAACTTAAGATATGTGAACTTGTATTCAAGTAGAGATGATCATAAAGGCGTCTTCAAAAACAAACTCAGCTGGAACTTTTAAGTTACTGTTGTGCAAATAGCAAAAAGTCATCTATGAAAATCTTACAAGATCTACTTTATACCACTAAGTTTACTATTGTTTCTGCTAAAATTAACATCTCTGGGTTTTTTTCTAGCTGTGCTTACTGTTTTCTCAGTTCTGATTTGAGAACTCAGAGTCTTCTAAAAAAAAAAACCAACCTGTTTTTCGTATTAATGTGGAAAAGTTTTTTGAAAGCTTCTGATAATACAAGCCTAGAATTAACTTTGTCAGCCTCTGGATGTCAGTGTTGTTTCAGACTAATAGAGCTTCTTGCAGCAGGAGGTATTTTTGATGTGGTTTTTATAAGATTTCCTCAGGGGACGAAAATAGCCACTGACTGTTTAAACAAAGCAATTTAGCAGTAATAATAATAAGCAATGTTTTGAATAGAAAACAATTGCATATAGCACCATTCTGAGTTTAAAACAAAGTCTTCAGTTGTGCTGAAGTGGTGGTGTGAATAAGTCAGGTGGCCCTTTGTGTAAGGGTCAATGACAAAACCCCTTCTGTTTTATAGTTCTGTTTTATAGTTGTTTTATGGTCAACTACTTCTGATAGTTGCTTTGTTTTAGACATTTTATGTTCCAAACTGGATTTTTGTTTTTCCTTTTTTTTTCCTCAATCTAACCTTATCTTTGTGAAAACAAAAGAAAAAATACTCTATTTCTACTGCATGTTCCTAAAATAACCCCGCCCATATATATATATGGTAGATCTTTTTTTCGAGTATTGAAGTGCCAGCAGCTAAGTGTTTCTGTATGTGGATACACGTGCTTTATATTGGAGCACAAGAAAAAGGCATAATGAGTGTTTTCACACTTTTGCCAGAACACTGATCATGAAACTTGTCAAAGCCACATGCCATTTTAATATTTATCTCTAAAATTTTTGAGGTGGAGATTTTGAAGTCCCCATAGAAATTTTCCCAGCACTTTTCCAGATACAGACAACCCTCAAATGCCAAACATACGACTTTTATTAGACAAACATGGTCTAGATTCTACCCGTTTGTTAAACACAAGCAATTTGCTCTTCTATAACACAGTATTCTTTCTCATAATCATTATGCTGAAGCAAGGACTTCTTTTTGAGTGTTTGGCATCTTTTGGGCTGGAATTGAGTAAATAGTTGGGTAATGGACAGAATTTTATGTGGCCCTCCACAGGCAGTGAGGGGAATCTATAACCATTGCTACAGGTTTGTTGAACTGAAGAGTGAAATGTTACTGTTAACAAGAAGATTAACACTCTTGCATGTCTTCATTATTTGTATGTGAGATCGCTGTGATTCATGCCATTGTCAATCCTTGCCAATTTTCTCTGGTTTATGCCAGTCTCTTAGAAGCCAGAATACATTTGCTTGATGTAATTTCTTATTACAGCAAATTTGAAACTCTAGAGACCTTTTAGCAATGTCAGTTAAAACTACCCTGAGTTTTGTATGTTAATCCCTTGAATGAGAGCTAAATATACATGAGAGGCTTTATATGTCTCACTGTACTTGGAGGACCTTAATTTTATAACCTTTTGGGAAGCGTTTTCAAATATTTGTGCCTCTGTTTTCTTTGGGGTTTTTTGTTTGTTTGTTTGTTTTACTGGAAGTTAAATTTATTGAAGAGGTTTTGTGCTGTACATTTTTCAGTCACCAGTAATATTATAATTTTATTGATTTTATTTTCTTATTACCTCTGCAATGCAAGTGACAAGTATATGTGATAAATATTTTACAATCCAGTCTCCTAATTATTTGTCATAAATTCTTTGAAGCATCTTATAGTTAGTGGTAAACAACACAGTTGTAGAATATATTTATTTTAAAACAGCTTGCTTTCTTTTTTAGTTTTTGTTCACAAGCTGATTAAATCATATATTTTTATTGAACTATGTCCAAATAACTGCTCTCTATGTTTTAAATTAATAAATTTAACCACATTTCCACTGAATTGCTGAAATGTCAAAAAGATTGTTTAATCAGTTCTGCAGGCCACACTATAGAGACAGAAGGCAGGTTATCCTGTGACTTACAATAAATTTTAACCTTTTCCTGTCACTGGAACTGGAAAATCTTAGGATACCAGGTGTTAGTATGTTAAATTTCTTCTGTGTTCATAGCATGGCCCTCAAATTAGCATGAAGTTTCGTGGTTCTGTGTTTCCCACCTTATGTCAATTATGACGTGGTTGAATTACTACTTTGTGATAAACTGCTACTTAAAACTTAATAGATTTTAGGGGCAATTGCAAATAGTCAATTTGGGGTTTTTTCTCTCGAAGTTGTGGTAAAATCATAGTAAAAATTATATGAAGATGATGGTAACTAAATACAACTTCATGGTTGCAATGATAGCTGCGAGGAAGATATTAAGGCATCTGCTCTCATTAATGTCCATCTTTGATTCTTTATTGAGTCTGTTGTTGAGTAAGAGTGAGAAGGTAATGGATCAATTTCTCAGTTCTCAATAGTGGATCTCAATTTCTATTGAAGGTCCTGAAATCAGTATCTTACTAGCCAAGAACTGCAAGTTGCTTGATTTATTCTTGATTATAGTTTCAAAAAACCCACTATGTTTTTCTTTTTTTAATAGGTGGAACATTAAAAGAAATCTGGAAGCTTACAAAGAAATTTAAATGTGTTATTCCTGTGAGATCCACAGAACATGATCTTGACTTACTAGATCTTTCAGTTCCTTTTCTTTTCCAAGGGAACATAAAATATTATGGGTAGGTTAAAAGTATTTTTTGATATTTTAGTAGTAGCAGTAATAAGTAGGTTCAGGTTTTTTCGGTAATTCAGAACACGGTGCTCAAGGCATAACTTAGCCAAAGATTCTTTGATGCAGAATACATAATGTGATCATCAGTATTAAGATCAGGGATGAAGTGCCATACTACTACTTTGTTTCCAAAGACTCAACTGCAACTGGGCTTTATCTTGCTCTATAAGTTTTATGCCCTTAATGACAGTGTCCCAGGTTCAGTCTTCCCTGTGAGGTGAGGGTACGGCAGTATGCTACAGAGACAAAAACGCACATGTGAACCTCTTTAGGCTGCAGAATTCCTAAATCTTCCACTTTTAGTTCAGATCTTCCATTTTCTGGCCAGAAAAATACATTAAATGCATTTTCTGGTCTTATACATTACGCTAAAGTCAAAACATTTTGTTGCTTTAAAATTGTATGCTGGCGGTTTTTTTGTATGCACATGATATTTAGAGACCCAGGAAATAATTTCAGGCTGTCAACCCACATCTCACTCTCTCTTAGTGCTGAGAAAGCTTTGGTTTTTGAAGAAATAAGGGATTTTCAGGGCCTGTTGTGATAGGACAAGGGGTGCTGTCCTAAACCCAGGACAGGATGGTAAAATACTGGAATGGGTTGCCCAAATTGGTGGTGAATGCACCATCCCTGAAGACATTCAAGGCCAGGCTGGGTGTGGTTCTGGGCAACCTGATCTATTCGAAGATGCTCCTGCTCATTGCAGGAGGTTGGACTAGATGCGCTTTGAACTCCTTTCTAACCCAAACCATTCTGTGATTCTGTGATTTTGGACAGTCTTTCCTAAGCATTTGCCATTTATTGAGGTCCACAACACCTATTTGTGGATATCAGTCACTGTAGAGAGAACTTCAGGGGGTTTCTGAATTCCACAGTTCCAAGGCTGTGCAGTACAGCACATCCATCTAGGTCTGGTATTGAAGCCATGTTATGCAGTACAGTGCTCCTGCTCAATGAGAGCTAGCAGTAGTAAGTTCTCCCATGCACAGTAGCATGCATTTACCAAGCTCAGATATGGGAGTCTACTTCGTGCAAGCTATTGAGTCCTTCCTCCCAGCAATCCTAGTAAGTTCAAGCAGAGCAGAGTTCCACTACTTCGGTCCTGTAAGCAGAAAAAAAAATTTCTGTGCAGAAATACTGCATGTTTCACATGACCCGACAGTTTACCATAGGGTAATAATAAAATGAAGGCAGATAATTATTTTTCTTTGCCATATATTGTTTTGCTCTTTTGGCCATTTATTTTTAAATAAAGACAGTATATAGGTATTCCTACTGAGACCGATTCTTCACCAGTACAAACTATTTCCCCCGGCACTTTAATAATCCATGTATTTTCCCAGCTAAGGACAATCCGCCTTCAGATGTTTTCTGTTTAAATGGCTAATTGTAAAAACCAACTCTCTAGAACATACTCCTTCATGGTTCAAGAATGGTGACAGCTCAGAGCTTTGTTCCACGTGCTTTTTTTATCACTAGCATATATTTAGCAAAGTCTAAAAAAGATTCTGGGTAGTGTAATGAAAAGCAAATTTATTTTTGCTATAGCACTGAGCTTGGGTAACTGTATAAGTATTTATGTGTGTGCATATATGCATGCGTATTTATATATAAATATAAAAATCATAAACACACTTGCATATAAAAAAATCCCCAGCTCAGTTACTTTATTGAAGTTTGGGTGGGTTTTTTAAAGCAAAAAAGTAGCTTCATTGAGCTTGATTTTATATCACTTGAGCAGAACCAGTGTTTTTGATTTTTATGACAAATTTTGCATCTAATTCTAAAAGGTAAAAAATGTCTGGTTTGTTCTAACTGTAATATACTAGTGCAAAAGCTAAATTTGGAAAAAAAAAATTGTTGTTTGGTAATTTTATTCCTTGAGGCAAATGAGAACAGTGTTAAATACAGTACTCCAACATTTTTATCCACTTACAACATTTGCTGTCTCATGTAAAATTTATAATTACTGGTGTAAATACAAGTAATAAGAGGCATTGTTTTAATAAGTCATAGTTAATATTTTTTAACATGTGTAAAGCCAAATTTCTCTTCTAAGCTTGTTGTGTTTTTAGTGCGCTACAAATTCAGATTCGTTCCTGCTTTTACAAAGTTAAGGTGGTGTTTGTATTGCTAAGCAGCAAAGTGGTGACATATGAATGTTTATTTAGCAATGTAGTGATCCTATAATCGTAGAATAGTTTGGGTTGGAAGGGACTTAAAGATCATCTAGTTTCAGCCCTCTTGCCATGGGCAGGGGTACTTTCCACTAGACCAGATTGTGCAAAGCCCTATCTAACCTGGCCTTGAGCACTGCCAGGGATGGGGCAGCAACAGCTTCTCTAGGCAACCTGTGCAAGGGCCTCACCACCCTCACAGCAAAGAACTTCCTAATGCCCAATCTGAATCTACCCTCTTTCAGTTTAAAGCCATTCTCCTTTGACCTATCACTACACAGCCTTGTAAAAAGCCTCTCCCCGCATTTCTTACAGTCCCCCTTTAGGTAATGGAAGGCTGTTCTTTTCCAGACCAACATGATTTTATTTCTCTGCAGGGGTAATTCAAAAGGAGTATTAAGGGGTTTGGTGTGGTCTAAAGCTTGTTTATCTGGTAAAACAGTTATTTTAAACAGCAATAAAAATACTTTTGCCCTCCCGCTGAGTGCAAATCAAAAAGAAAATCAGGTTTCTTTTTTTTTCCTGTGCAGAAACTTCTAGTATAAATAAATCAGTGTTTGCTTAGTCTCAGTATCTTGTTTTAAATGCTAGGTGCAAGCAGTGTTCAACTCCGAAGCCTATCAAGAGTCTAAGTTCCATGGTAGCAGAAAAACAACCACCATCATGGGAACCAACTGAAATAGCACAAGGTCAGCTGACGTGTTACTATCCTGAAGTACTGTTGTGCCTTGATTCTGAAGTGTTTATATGAAGTGGTTTGGTTTCTGGGTTACAGTTTTGTACAGGAAGTGTGTCATTTATGGTTATGTTTGAACATGATGCTGTAAAATTTATTCACCTCTACTTTTGAAACTGTCACAGTATTAATTAAAGGATTTTACATGTTAGTTTCCTTTACCATAGGTATCCCTAGTAACATGTATTGTGGCACATCACAAATGTGATGAATTTTTGGTTGCAGATGTCAGTTTTAAACTGTGTACTTGCTTGCAGTCCTAGAAGTTAGTCTCGCTTTTCCTTTTGAAGATATATTTTTTCTGACCTAAAGATGACTATTGCAACTTAGGCTTTTTTCTTCTGTAAGCATAATTGATCCTAAGCTTATTCCAGAGAGTCTGCAAGAAATAATATTTAAAGGAATTATACTGTAACACATGTGTTACATGCTTTGTGTTACTTTATGTAGTCAGTACATTCAAATGCTGAAGATAAAAAGGAGCTTAAAACTTCACATAAAAGAATGTTCTCATACTTATCCATTCATGTTCTAACATACTAATTTGTAATATCTAGCAGTATCTAAGCTTAGTAGAAGTCTTATTAAAGAAAAAAACTATTTGAGCAGTACAGTGGTTCTCTTAAATAAACTGTTATATTCTCTTAAATAAATGTAAAAAATAACTGGCAGTGTTACAACATCTGCAATTGACATTTAATTCTCAAAATGAAATCAATATTCATTAAATGCTTTCTGCATTTGAACTATTTTATATATAATACTCTTTATCATCTCTATTTTCAGACTAAACTGTAACCTACAAGTATATCAGATCAGTTGAACATAAAATGACTAGCCAATTTAGATAGATGTACCCAGAAAAGACTGATGAAGAGTTGCAGTAACTTTGTATGTTTAAAATATTTTATGTTTGCAGCATGACAGTTACTGCTGCCAGTGAGAGAATGACTACAGTCATTTGTGTATGCTGGAATGTTTTCAGAACTGCCAGCAGTTTTTCTGAATAAGGCTTTGCCTGGTAGTTTTTACTACCTCATATGAAAGAATTTTTTTCCTCAGAAGATATGTTTTCAGGTGGAATGGCAGCTTCCTATCACTGAATTAAGAACAAGTCTCCTTTAATCTTCCGTGGATAAAAGGAGGAGGAGGAGGAACCTACCAAGGCAGTATCTAAGATCTAAGCAAATATTAGCATTTCTTTTACTAGGATGAGAATAAGTGCTTAAAAAAAAAATTCTGTGTGTTTATAGACTGATCTGTTAAAGTGTTTCTAGGCCGACTGCAATACACTCTCAAAATGTGAACCACTTCTTGCTATTCAGAGCCTTTGTTTTTTTTGGCTTCTCAATTTATACATTTAATGGCAGTCTTCAAAGTCAGTTTCTGTTAAAGGAAGAATATTGTCAGCTTGAGTTGTTAATAGTCTTGCGTACTGATTCTAAGAAACAAATTGATTATTTTATTTTTTTTAATTCAGTTTTAGGCATTGAGCCACTCCAGTATGTTTTTATTATGAAGTTTACACTGGTTGATGGAACAGGAGCACTAGATGCATACCTTCTTGACTATGTAAGTAAGTATAGGTAAAGGTAGACTGTACAGATTATGTGGCTTTGGATTTTATTGGTTTTCAAAATAGCAAGTGTATGTACAGAAATATTCATTCTATGTTACCTGCAGTGTTTTGCAAGGACAATTTTGCAAATGCTGTAATGTCCATCAATGAAGATACATGGAATGTAATTTTTAGTAACAAGAGCTGGTCATTGCTTCCTACATCTCTGATTTGGGGTTGAAGATGAATTGTGTATGTGTGGCATCCTCCTTAGGGAATTTACTCCGTTAGATGTATTTTTCTGTGCAGTAGAAATACATGTTGCGCTGTACTTTGTGGGGGTTTTTTTCCTCTTTTGTTTTACCTTTTGTGTTGTTTTTATTTTTGCTTGGTTGGTTTGTCTTGGTTTTTATACACACATGTATATACCCATTATAGTTACTATCCTAAATTTTGAGATGGTATGTCAATAATTTTAAAAAGAGAATAATAAAAAAGTGAGAAGAGCTTGGCAAAGAATAGAATTATAATATAAAATACATTAGTATTTTATTATTCCTTTTGTCTTTCTATAAGTGCATTTTGATTCCAGCAGTTCATAGTTGGGAATATCAGGATCTCACAATACACTTTGGAGTAATCTGTCTACATAAATGGAAAATAGTCAGTGTAGTAGCACTTCAGAATTATAACTTTATCCAAAATAAGACAAAGAAACAATTTAGTGGGAATATTTTTTTCCTACAACAATGCTAATTAATGTGTGTATATATATATATGTATATATACAAGTTTTATATATATATATATATATATATATATATATATATATACACAAGTTTTCCACCATTGTGCTAAGTGACTTTGAAAGAGACTTTGAAGGGAATACTCATCCATTAATTTTAAGACTGTAAGGAAAAATATTTGGAAAACCTGTGTGTTTTCTTTAAATACAGTGCATTAGCAGCAAAGGAGGTCAAAGATTGCAGTCCCCATTTCAGATAGTCGACTTTTCTTTCTACTACTGTCCTTTTCCCTTTTTATATCAAGAAACTAAACTGCAAAAGGAAAATGGGGGGAAAGATTTTCAAACCATGTCTAAAAATCTCCATTTCAGGGTAGCTCAGATTCTTAAATGGATACTGCTTAGTACTACAGCTTGGCTGCAGGAAAAATAAAACCAGTTTCTTCTGAAGTGCCAGCTTCTAGCCTTCCTGGTGGTGGCACTTCGAAGACAAGACAGTACCTTCCAAGCCTAAACTTGGGTCCTCCAGCACCACCTGAGAAGGAACTGGGATACTTCGAAATGCAACTTCGCTAATTTCCAGTCATGCTTCTGCTGGAATGCTCTCGGTTCTTTTCTTCCTCTCCTCTTTATAGAAGAAGACATTGAAGGAAAATAATTTAAAAGTGTTATAGTCAGAAGAAGAATTGGAAGAGTAAGAGGAAAAAGTAGTTGTCTGTCAATGTTGCTACTGGATTATCTGCTAACTTGTGATCACTTCCAAAAAACATGTCACAGAAAAGTTACACAAAGGCAGATAATTCTGTATTTGTATCTTTTAACAAAAAGAAGAAAGTGCCATCACAAACCTTGGCTCACTTTGAGAAAAGAAGTTTTTGAGTCTTTAGAGATACAAAAGCAGGTAACAAACAGAAAAAATAAAATGGTACTTCTGTGAGTCATGCTTACTGTATATGTTTTAAAAATACACAGAAAAGGTTTATGTGGCATGTCAGTGTTCCATTCTTTATCTTACTCCTCCATTCAGGCTTATACTGCAAGGTACCTTTCTTTCTCCATAGTTTCTAAAACTATCCAAAAATGATAGTTGTGCTAAGGTATGAAGCCAGGTTGCAGTCCCCCCTTGTTTTCAAGTCACTTTGTTCTTCTCAAAATGCTCTGCTCACAGCGGTGAGGGACTGTTGAGGAGGACTGAATATCCTCTCTGTCTATAACACTGTTTGCTTGTGGAGGTTTATGAGAAATGTCTGCCAGTTATATGTGTGCTCTCTGAGTGGCTCTAGTCCCTGAATACTCAGGGGTACTGAAATACAGACTTTGATTTTTTTTTTTTTTTTCTGACAGTTTGTTGGGGTTTTTTTCTGTATCTGAACAGTTTTAGAAATATTGGTCTTCTGTTGTGTTACCTATCTGGATAATTTTAAGTTTTTTAATTATAAGAAAAACCCCATGCAGTGAGGGTTCTGGCTAATGATTTCTTACCCCTTTTCCAACACCTCATACTTTTCTGTTCTCTTCCAGGAAAAGTTCTTCAAAATTCCTGCCTCTGAAATCTTAACTAGTGATTTTCTTCAGCAGAAGATGCAGATGATCATGAATGCCCTCTGTCCTCCAGGAGGAAACTTAGGTCAGCTTGCTGATATTTTAAAAGGGGAATGGGAAGGGAAAGGGTCTTTCAGTCTGCTATTGCATATGCAAAGTCTTAGAATTCATATTACGCATGGGCAAAACTCAGAACAGAGAAATGCAGGAGTTGGTAAGAAAAGTTCCAGTTACTTGTTCAGTACATTCCTATAATAGTGGGACTTCCTTTTGAGAAACAAAGGCAATGGTTCAGTAAATTCACATGTAGCATGCAGCGATATGTGAATACAGTCATGCCTATGCAGGCACTAACGTGTCATTTGTATGTGTATGGAAGTTAACCAGAACACCCTCGTACTGTCACAACACATTAGGGAAAACTGAAAAGGAATTTGGTACATGGCACATGCTTTGGGTGAGGTTCTAGTTTTGAATGCTCATCTGATTTAGAGCATCCCTTACTGCAGCAAACTTCCATGGAAATTGAGCAAAAACTTAATCCAAACCCAAGCACAAAGGGGTTTTGTGCAGTATTTCACTTGCAGCAGAAAGTATCTCTACATGAACTACACATGCCCAAAGTAGCTCTGTGTCCCTGCCACAGCTTCAACCTTTGGAATGTATTCCCTCCAAACACCTGGCTGTCAGTGTCCACCATAACCCTGCTGGGGTCTTTACCATACCTATAAAAAGTGGCCCTGTTGTAAAGGGGGTCAAGGATGTTACCTTTGAGACTGATAAAATTGTCTCATTGAGACACAAGGAAATGAGTTTTTATCACTGGGAAGTCTTTATATGTGCTTTGCTGTGGTACAACTGCTGGTGCCAAGTGCTTCAGGGGAGGGCAAGGCTTGGGAATTTGTCACTGAACACCATTTCAGTTGGCATGAGAAATTTTAAGGTACAAATTGGAATTTCAAAATCAGTAATTCATATATTTTCCTATTAACTGTTGTATGACTTTAGATATCCTAGTGAAGATCCTGCCCAAATTACACTTCTGTCCTATCAAAAAATTGAAATTAATATTCAACAATAATTTGGTTTTATTTGTAGATGACTTACCGTGGCTGGAATGCTTCATCAAGTCCTATAATGTCAGAGATGGAATGAATCATCAAGTTTATTACCAAATTTTTGACACTACAATTGTTGAAGATGTTATATAACGATGTGTTGCTAATTGGATTCTTAACTGGATTACTTCCTGTTTTGGGATCAGAGACTATGAAAAATCTTTGTTCCTTTCTTGGAATTCAACCTGTATGTATGAAGTTTTAGTTTGTATATTAATATGAATGGAAATTATGCTTTGATGTATTTACTACTTTCCTGGAATACAGCCTTATGATCTGAGGGCAAGAGCAGGTGCTAAGCTTTTCAGTGGAGGCTGCTTGGCTCATGCTGAGGTAGGCAGTCTGGTATTCACCTGTCCTTCAAGAAGCCAGCAATGAGGTTACTCTAAACTGGTGTTTTACTCAGAAAGTACAGTCAGAATGTTGCTGCTTTGTTCATTTCTGTTTTAAAATAAACAAGGTCAGCAGAGATAAGGAAAAGGAGCTCTTCAGTAAACTTCCTCTCAGACAACTTTGTGCAAGCATGTGTTACTGTTTGCAGCCAGTTTGATGGGGAGGTTGGCCATTTTTAGACTAATTTGATTTTGCACCGATACATACGTTTAGACAGAACTCTTCCTGATAATCACTAAGGTAATTGCTGTGTGCACCAGTTACTGTAAATTTTGATGGAGATACGACGTGACCATGTCATGTTTATCACTAAAATTAAAGTCAAGCTATGAAAGTAAGGTAAAATTGTAAAATAAATATTGACATTCACTAGAATATAATGTTTTTTTAAGGTGGCCCTACTGGGTACCAGAGTTGTTAGCATGCTTATTAGCTGGGTGTGTGTTTCCAAAGGCTCTCACATATCTGTCTGAATTTATTGTCAGATTACACTGCCCAGATCTGCCTTTTCTGCCTCACGTAATCAGATTAGATGACTAAATTTAGAGTTACAGAACTGATCTAGTGGCTTAAAAATACTACTGGGCTAGAAAAATTACTCAGTGGTTTTACTTTGCATTCAGAAGTCTGTAGAACAAATTCAGGACATGTTTCTCCAAGGATTATTAACGTAGAAATCACTGTCAAGTCAAATGCTTTCCATCAGAGCAAAATTGCGTAATATTTAAAACAGCTGGTTTTTAAGGCAGTTCAGAAGCAAGATGGAATACTTGTAAGTAGATTGTTATTCTGATAGTAGATGACATTATTTTTCAGGGCTGTTTCAATTATGCAATTTGTCATTTCATCTCAATATCTGGTGATAATTTTCTGGTACTCTAAAGAATTATACTGGGTTTATATGTCATAAACTAGGAGATTGTTCTTTATTGATTGGTATACGGGGAAAATCAATATCAAAAGTGGTTAGAGGATATTTCCTTTCAAGAATGTGTAAAAAACAACTTTGGAATTGAGCAAGCAGCTTACAGAGAAGCAGCTTACAGAGGAGCAGCACTGTCTTATGAAAGCTTGCCAAAATCTGTGAATTAATGGATAAACCAGTGATAGTTAGAACAGGTTATTTAATATTATAAAAAATGTAGACACTGGCCCTATCCAAATTATTTCAGTAGTTAGGGGTTAAAGGCAGTCATTTTTGCTTTTATTGTATGTAGTGTATAAAAACATTGGAATGAAATATTTTTATTTTAATTTTTTTCTTAACTCAGATATTGATATTGTATATTTTTTCTAAATAAGTCTTTATAAAATAATAAACAAGAATGTTTTGAGCTTCAGTGTAAACTGTATCAATTTCACCACATCCCTTGCCCAAAATCCCTGACAGAAACCCTGCATATGTGTCACTTCACTTTCTACTCTTGACTATTGTATTAAAAAGTTTAGTAAAGATTTTACAAATACTGAGATTTTCTTGTACTTTTAGTTTCTAGGTTTTAAACTTTTCTTGTCAGTAGCTTTCATCCAAGAAAATGCTCCAAATTAATGTTTTTATAGTTGTTGGATTGAAACATATATGCTTAATTCTCTTTCTAAATATAAATCATAGAAATACTTCTAATTAGTTATTAAAACTATTTATTTGGCAATACTAAAGATCACTGTATAGAAGGGAGTTAGTGCACAGACAGTTGAAAATGTCTGTGTCTCATTGATAGCCTATATAGAGAAAGGTGGAAGTCACAGAGATGGGACTCGGCCCTTCAGGTGCTTACCCTGGCAAACGCTGTGGCCTGTGAATAGCTGACTGGTGGATGGAATACTGAGATCGCTGTGTCCTGAACTTACAGCACCATGAGACTCCAGTTTTTGAAAGCTGAGCATCCTGGGCAGCAATGACTTTTAGCCGTTACTAGCAACTTCGTCAATACAAACACGAGTCATGTTTCCCTTGCTCAGTTTCTTGATCAAGTATGTGACTTACAGTTCTGAAACATTAATGTGTGTTTTAATGGTTAAGAATCCCAGCCCGAAAAAGATAATGTTGTATTTAAAGACGTTCAAAAGTTGAACCAAAAGCAAATCAGATTCACATCCAGTGAAAAATCCAGGCATTTCTTCCTGGTATCTTGTCTTCCTCCATCCACACATACATCGCAGCATACAGGGTAACTGCATCAAAGCATCAGCTTCTTACTAGAAATGTGGGCTAAATGGTAAATCTGTATAGAATGAATTACATCGAACAGCAAGCAACATCCCTATGGGCAAGGGCTGTGTTTTGTTTTATACAACTATGAAAGAAAAGTAAAGCAACATGAACCCACCCCCCATCAATTACACAGGTAAGTGCATAAAGTGGTGAAATTGAAATAAGAAAAAAAAGAAGTTTTCAGAAGAAAAGAAACGAGCATAAATGTGAAATAATGTTTTGGGGATGGGGCTCTTTGAAGTCCTTGTATTGATGGGGTTTAAAAACACATAATTGGAAGTCTCTCTAACATAATTTGAATTTAACATCTTTGATGCCTCACACTCTCTTGGAACTTCAATTGGAAAGACATAAAGTAAATAAGTATATACTGCAGAAGCAGAGTCATTCCTGGTAGGTGACCTGCTGCTCAGTGGTGATTGAACTTTCTCATCAGCTTTTGCTGTTACGGGATCCAGAGATTTACAGGCAAGACTTTGAAATGCTTTGCTTAATACTAATCCTTTGGCTACTGGGCAGCAGGAAGTGGGGATTGCAGGAAAGACAACAGAGCCCGCAGGCTAACAGCTGGGGCTTGCAACAGAAGGAAGGGAGTTTATAGTATTAGCAGAGATGAAGCTTTAGTTCTTCAATACCATGGTGTTTTACATCCACGAGAATTTAACTCCATTTAGGTTACTTTTGGATGAAGCCCTTGTGTAAATACATGTCTGGGGCAATGCAAAAAGGGATAAGACCAAATATTGAAATGGAGTTGTGAAAAAGCAAATATAAAAGTTAAAGTTCTTCAGATGGAATGGAAGCACTGCAGGAAATTTTCTTCAGTGGAGGAGAGAAAAAAATTCAAATGAGAATTTGCCACAAAGAAACTTTGTTCTAAGTGAACAGTGAATATTAAGAATTTGAAACAAGGAAATTTGGTAGAAGATGGAGAAGGACAGAAAGAAAGAACAGTTTCAGAGGACACTAGCAAAGGCAGAAGTGATACTAGAAAGTCTGAGATGGTTTGCTGCAGCTCCTGTTTACAGCATTTCCTATACCTGAGATTCCCATGAGAACTATGATTTCTTGAAACGTCCATCTTATGAAGGATTACCAGGTCCTAAGTGCTTGAAAAATAGAGAGCAGAACTATGCTGTCATTAATGAGCTCATATTTGTGCTAAAGCTACTGATGAGCTTCACCCCAGAACCATGCTACAGTGTGGTTTTCCTTCTTTTTGCTACAGCTCCAGTGCATGCCTGCCGAGGTAATGCTGTAAAACTACTGCAGCATTATCAGCCTCCATAAACTGAGCAAATTCAAAGCCTAGGAATAAACCTGTGTTTAGTAGGTACTTGTTTTAACTTGAATTTTTGCAAGTAAATGAGGAGGAAATGGGGCTTAATGTGGACATATGCAAAGAGAAAAAAATTACTTTTTTTTTTTTTTGTCCCATAACTGTTCTATTACAAATGTGAAGCTCTGATCATAAATTTGTTCTGTACCTTCTCCTGTGCGTGTACAGCCTGTGGACTACCGCTGTTAAAATACAGTTTTGTGAAGTGCAGCTACATCTTTAGAACTGAGTCTGAATTTAACTGTAATTTCCAACACTGGCTATCAGGTAGATTTGAGTTATGGATGTATTAGCTTCCCTGAAGGCAATTCTCTGAACAATGGCAGTTTAGAAATGCTGCTTGAATTTTGTACTAAAAGAGTGGTAAAACTGAACACTAAAATCTGGTGACAGATTTGAGTAGACTTCATTTCTTTCTTCTCCTGTCTACAAATGACCCTTAAGCAACTCAAAGCTCCTCTGAAGCAACTTTTCAGATGACAAATATGATCAGTCACAAGCAGGATGTGTATTTACCGGGGGGGATTTGTATTGTTTTGAGCAAGGGGTATCATGTTTGCACCAGACAGCAGTGCTCCATGCGGTTATTCTGGCATACAAACATACGATACTCCATCTTCAAGGATACTCTTTTCCTACCACATTTACTATGCTAAAGGTGCAAACTCTGTCTTAAAGGGAGACGTTTACTTTACATTTCCCCTATTTGCTGTGTTTTGTCGAGGGTAAACCAACTAACATCAAAGAGAAAGTTGAAGAATTGCTTTTCCCCTTCAGGTCAGTCTGCATTTGTTAGCGAGATGCTGTGGCTTGGGTCCTTGCAGGAAAAAGCAGCAGAAAAGAAAGATTTAAAAGCTTAATTTGAAGAGATAAAAGTCAGAAGCTACACAGGAAGGGACAGTAAAGAACAAGGAGTGCCCCTTAAAGATCTAACAGCCTTTCTGAAAATCAGGTATTGTAACTTGAAAATCCTGATGCAAATCCGTTGGCTGCCATTATCTATATGATTTGTTAATGATTAACCTTTTGAATATTATTCCAATCTATAAGTGATTAACTAGACTAGTAAGTCACAATTATGTCTGAACAAGTTTAATTCCTCTGGGTTCAGCTACTGGAAATTGTTTCTATTTGAAATGAGAGATGACTGTTTGGTTTCCATTTAAAAACTGTGTGGAAAAAATTCACGTGGCAAAACTACAACATTCATCATTAGCTAGATACATTCTCGCTCTTCACCAAGTGCCAGGGCCTGCTCACATCAGATCATTTTATCTGGCAAGGACTATATTCCACAATGGTACCTTGCAAGAGTGCCTATTCACAGCAAGCTTACCAAAGCATTGTAAAAATAGCAGGAGTTTTCAAAGCTCGTTTAGCTTTTCTGTGAGACCTGGAAAAATGTGAATGTCTCTGGCCTACTTTTCAGTCTGGGTAAAGAGGTGGCTGATTTGATGTGATGGGGAAGGGAATTCTTAACCCATTTCTTAGTGACGATGGCAAAGGTACTCAAACCTCATTTTAAATATTGAGGTCATCGGCTAATATCTGTCAGGAAAGCACAGATCTGCACCAAATACTCCTGTCAAGAGCACGTACACCAAAGCAAATCAGAACTGGAAATCAATTCCAGCTGAAACCGACACAAGGAAAAATGTGACAGTGGTATATTCTGCTTTTGGTAGTTCATCTTTTCTCATTCTGGTCTGAATATTAACTCAATAGGAAAAAAAAAATCTGATTCAAAGCATAATGAAAATACTTGCTTAAATAGAACAGGGACTGCAGAAGAGGCACTGTATTGAAGCACTTTTTTTCTTATGGAAGATCAACTTGTCTTCCTGGAGTGTTTCATTCTTCAGGCAATTCTCCTCCCAGTCAGCATACTTAGGTTCCCAATTCCAAAATCTTATTTTACTGGAACTGAAGTCAGCATAGAACACCACTGCTTGGAAACTGTCACTCTTTTAGGCTCCAAGAGGCTATCCTGAACATACCCTGTGATAAGAAGTGTCACTAATATTCATGAACAAGTTCTTCTCCATTCAGTCTTTCCTATCTGTAGTAAGGTGACTGGAAGATTTTTGTATAAGGAGTTTTTGATACATGAGCTTGTTGCCTTCTCATGCATACAGGTGTACTCAAAATAGCCTCTGAATGCTTACCAACCAGAGTAATCCATGATTACTCATGTGCGCGCCTCTGTACCATGGATACCATGCAACTGCTTTATATAACAGCATAACTGATCAAGGTATACATAATAAATGCATGAGTAACCAATTTGCATGTATTCAATCATAATTATATGAGTGCCTTATCTTGTGCACTTCAAATACATACGCACCTCTTTGGCAACCACAGCTTTACTGAGATAGAGTATTGGAGCACAGTATCTGAGGGACTCATAAAAGATGAGTCCAGATCCCAAACCTGACAGCTGTCAGTGGCTGACGAAGCTGTACCTGAAAGTGCCAGTGAACACAGAGCTGACGAGCCCCATCACCAACTGGAGCACCGTGCAGTGGGCCATGACCCACAAGGAGGGATCCTGATTTTAGTTAGAGAACAGCACAAATATTGACAGCACAATAAATAAATCGTGAAAAGTTGTTAATCCAGAATAATTCTAGCCTGTTCACTGATGGAGCAAAAACAGGCTCTTGATGAGATGTGAGGGTTTGGTAAACATAAGTAAGTTTGGTTATGATCCATAAATGGCTCAATTTCCCAAATTAAGAGCAGAAATAATGTGGGACAGAAATAAGCTGTTCTCAGCTACCTGAAAAACATGTTACTAAATACTCGCAGGGTGTATCGTTCCTTGTATTAGATGCACACAACTTAAATGCTAGTTGGCAATAGAGGACTTGTGCATTTTAATCAAGACAAGAACTTAACATTAAAGGCCTAATT